ACTCCCCCACCTCCCCCCCCCCCACACTCCCCCGGACTGAGCTCTAGACTCCAGACAGGCATCCAGAGGCCTGTGAAACCCCGTTTTTTCATTGCTACCAAGGATTTCCTCTGTTCATTACTACCCGAAGGAGGAGTGAGGGGAGAAGCTTCAGATGCGGAAACAGCTCAGGGAAGTCTTGGTCATACAATCCTTGGAGACGGAACAAGACGTTACCCAGGAACACTTGGGCCCCCCGCGGGCTACCCATTGCGTTCTGAACTCCCAGCTGCCACCCCTGCCAAGACCGTTTATCTGCCTACAAAGTCTGAGCCCAGCCACCAACAAAATGGCTCAGAAGTTGTTTACCTCTGTCAGGCAAAAAGGAATCCCTGGTGGATAGAAATCAAGTCGCAGTTATCTCGGGGATATCCGGGAGGTGTCCTGCACATCTTGATCTGGGTGACAGATGGCACAAGTGTCTACAGGTTTTAATATTTTATTGAGCTGTACCTTTAAGAATTGTCCATTTGGCCCAGCCATGTTGCTCAGTGGTTGAGCATCGACCTATGAGCCAGGAGGTCACAGTTCGATTCCCGGTCAGGGCACAGGCCTGGGTTGTGGGCTTGATCCCCAGTGTGGGGTGTGCAGGAGGCAGCTGATCCATGATTCTCTCTCATCATTGATGTTTCTCTCTCTCTCCTCCTCTCTGAAATCAATAAAAAAATTAAAAAAAAAAAAAGAATTGTCCATTTGTTGTTACAGGTTCTGTTTCATCTTCCTACCTCCACGTGGTGGGGTGCTCCAGGGCGCAGTCCTGACTTCTGAGCTCCCCTTTGCTATCACATCCGGCAAGTGGCCTTAAGTACCATCCTCTCGCTCTGCCTCTAGCCAAGGCTTCAGGGCTGCTCTCTCTCCCAGACTCCGCATCACACGCCCCGAGGCAGGCCCGCCCCCCCTTCAATGGATGGATGTCTAACAGGCATCTCCAGAGTGGCGTGCCCACCAACCGTCCTGTGGTTTTCCTCGCAAACCCACTCTTCTCCAGTCTTTCCTGGATCAATTCACCACCATCCCATCCAACCAGATGTTCAGGCCAGAAACCCAGGAGTCATGCTTGATGCTCCCTCTCCCTGCCCATATTCACGCATCACCAAGATCTTAGCTTCAAAACATACCCCAAAGTGACCCCCTTTTTTCATCAGCCCCCCTGAGGCCCTCATGCTGGATGAGGGCAGTAGCCTCCACTCTGATTACAGAGTGGTTCTCCCCAGACAGCGGGGACCCCCTAAACAGGAGCCAGCCCAGGGCATTCCCTGCTCAAACGCCCTCAGTGCCCCCATCACACCAAGAGCAAAGCCTCCGATTCCCAAGGCTGCTGGGGGCTGGTGCTGCCGACCTCTGCGCCCTCGCAGCCACCGCCATCACAGACATCTGGGCCTCCTTTGGGTGAAGGCCTGTCCACTCCTGTCCTCCGGGGCCTTTGCCTGGCTGGCCCCTCTGCCTGGAAGGCGCCTCTTCTTAACCTCCCAGCACGGCTCATGCAGACCCCGGGCAGGGTACCGCTTCCTCTGCGTCCCCTCTCCCGTCAGCCCGTTGCCCTCAGGCCGGCATTTTTCTGGCTGCGGACTGGTGGTCTGTCTCCAGTTGGACAGTATCCTTGCCCCCAGCCTGCAATCCTGGCGCAACCGGGAGCAGCTCTGCCGTTCCCACCGGAGGGCGCCGCCCTAACCCGCTGCGCCCCTCGGTCTGCAGGGGCTGCAGATGTCGCCGCAGGAATCGCCGTTCACCGCGCGCTCCCCACTAGAGGGCGGCCCGGCCCAGCTTGGCCCGGACGCGGCAGGAGAGGGCGGGGCGGCCCTGGGTGAGGGAGGCTCCTCCGGGTGCTGCCGCCACGGCCCTCGCCGGCTACCGAGCCCTCCCGGAGCTCGGGCCCAACCATCACTTCCAGGGATTGTCCAGGCGCCCCGGGAGCGGGTTCAGGGGTCGGGCTCACTCTGCCCGCACGAGGGCGCAGCCGGGGGACCGTCCGGGACAAATGGGGAAACTGAGGCTACGTGGGGGAGCCGCTCGTTCTGGGTCACGCAGAGAGTCAGAGTGAGCTCAGCCGCCCGGGGCGTCGGGGAGTCCCGGCCCGAC